AAAAGCAGCAAAGAGTCCTGTGGCACCTTATAGACTAACAGACGTACCGGAGCATGAGCTTTCGTGGGTGAATACCCACCATGCATCCAACGAAGTGGGTATTCACCCACGAAAGCTCATGCTCCAGTACGTCTGTTAGTCTATAAGGTGCCACAGGACTCTTTGCTGCTTTTACAGATCCAGACTAACATGGCTACCCCTCTGATACCTGACAGGTTTTATTAAAAACTGTCAAACCCAGTCCAGTGAATGCCTACTAAGGAATAGAAAATAACGTTCTATTTTCCAGGCACCAAGCCAGACTATATCCAGAAATATCATGAAGTCTTTTGACATATATTACTGCCAAAAATGAGAGATTGCCTAGTTGTGCACCAAAGTGTTAAAAAGAAATTCACAAGCAGCTTTTTAGGGGTCCTTTAAAGATTGCTTTCCCATGCACTGAACCTATTCTTCTCCTATGTATTGTTCATAAAACAATAAAACCCTAATAAAAGAAGACTCGTGGAACAAGTTTTCACTGTGTATAGGATTCAGTGTTCTATAGAATTTCATACTCTTTAAACCATACCCTTGGCACATGTCCCAGTGGCATATAAAATATCACTACATGCCAATGCAATGAAAGCTATAGAATTTTAAAAAGTGGCTGGGGAGGACCCAATCCATTGACTACCAACACAAAATTAATACTGGATATTACAGTAATCAGATAGCTCTTCAGATGGTGATTTGGTGACATCTTTTCTTCAAGTTATATCATAATATGGAATGATTTGATGACCATGCTCTGCCTAGGGGAGACGGGCTGGGTCTGAGTTCAGCACTCGGACTTAGTCCTTCACTGCTGGTAGTACTTCTGCAGCTTGGAAGGGGTCCTGAGATATCAATCAGCAGAGTGCTGGAAAGAGTGAGTCTCTAAGGGCTCGTCTACACCACAGTTAGGTCGACATAAGGCAGCTTATGTCAACCTAATTATGTCAGTGTCTGCACTACAGCGAGAAGCCCTGGTGGTTTCGGACCCTGCTGCTAGCTGGGAGCCACAGCAAGAAGCCCTGGCGCCCTTTCAAATTTCAAATTGACAAGGCTGCCCGGCTCCCAGCGGGGAGTGGGGTGGGGATGCCAAGAAGCTGGGGCAACTGGTCCCCGCTCCCAGAGGGCAAGAAGCCCTAGGCAGCTTCCCCCAGCTCCCAGCGGGGAAGGGGGAGTGAAGAGGAGGCAGTTCACTGGGAACCTGGGAGCTTGTGGGGCAGCCAGGGTCCCAGCAGGGTGCTCCCAGTGGAGCTGAGAGGGCTCTCCTGGTGCACTACCGACCCAAGGAGGGTAGTGTGGACATGTACCACCGCAGTAATTACTAGTTTATATTACATTTCTAGTGTCGACACACCCTAAGACTTTCTAGTTCTTCTGTGGATTGCCACAGAATTTTGGGCTCCATAGAGTAGATAAAGATTTTTGAAATGCCACTTCTATGCATCTCAATGGCATAGCTGATACACACAGGCAAGCCAAACACCATCCCATAGCAGATACTCATAGCCATCCTAGTAAGTGTGGGTCCCCATTGCAAACTCCAGTATCGGCATATAGTTGCATGTTCCACACAGGCAATCTTCAGAATTGGATTTTTACTACTTTACAGGTACCCTGTATAAGATAAGAAAAGAAACAATTATAAAATCAAAGAATGAAAGAAATAAAATGTACAAAGGTGGAAATCAGAATAGAAGAAAAAACAGTTATTTATGTCAAGGCTTCGTGCTACAGTGTTGGTTCCATAAATGCTACAAAACTCCTCTGTTCTGATTCCCTAGTTTAAAGTCAGCATTAGAAAAGCTCCATCCCAGAAGACTCCATGCTCTCAAGTAGCTGCCTAGTGTTTTACAATTCTCTTTAAAAAATGTTCATGCTCCAATGTTCATGATGTGACCTGTAGCTTGTGGTAGGAATGTTAGTTTGTGAGTTTCTATTTGGTGTCTAGACCCTAGCTAACGTGATTGCATGCATTAGAAATGTGCAAGATGAGTAGTTAGAAAAGCTCTGGCACCAAGAAATTAAGACTTAGAATACCCTTGTGAAAGGCTAGGAAAGAAATTATGAGAGGGGATGTATGCCTGGGCACACACCATTAAACTAGCAATAGCATTTGCTCTGAGAACTGTGTAGAGAAGGAAATAGCTATTCATTGGTTTGGCTGGATTCCAATGTAACTAATTCTGTTTGGTCAAGTATTGAGCTATTTAGGTTTTATTGTAAGAAGCTGTTTGCGGGAATGCTTTTATCACCCAACCAAGTTCTGCATTGTGGCTTGTGTACACAGTGAACATAAGGGTGGATATTCAGTGGATCAGCTTCTTATCAGTCAACAGCATTTTTGTTCAATCCTGTTTGAGATACTTGGGTCAAATTAATGACCTCTGCTGATTCTATTAATGATTCGTCTCTTATAATTAGATTATTGAATGTTGATGCTTTTAACAAGCTCTTTTCTCCCCACATTTTTCTTCCACTTATGTTGACCATCAGGCCCCATGTCTACATTGTTCCCATCCCAAATCATTAGGCCATTCTCTCAAAAAATAAAGGTTATTTAAAGGGGATATCCAGTCTCCTGAAATAGTATATGATTTTTGGAAAATGAAAGACACTATTCAGTTTCTTGTGCCCATTTGTTATGTGAACCTCAATCATGGGTAAGCAGTGAATATTCGCTCTCCCAGGTTCAGGTCCTTTGGTTTTTGCTTTTACTGACTGAATCACACTTCTTTGCTGGCATTTTGCCTTCTTTCCTAACCTGAGATAGAGAATCTATCCCTTTAAGGAGCCCGTGGCTCTGAGATTGCCTTGCCTTGTCAAGGTAAATTCCAGATGACACCAAAATGTCAAGTCTGAAATTTTACATGTGATGGCCACAGGAGATAAGTGTTATCTAATAAAGTCTGTGTAAGCATCAGACAGAGAAGTCTTCTAAACTTCCTTGAAATAGGAAGAATCTGAACTGGATTTCTGTGACCAACTGGAATGAATGCTGATTAGAGCAATTTAAACTAGGTCAAACAAAATATGACTTACCTCAGCAAGTATCTGAGAGGAAGGGGATTTAATTCCCTGCTAAACAGAGTCTGTCCTGTACAACAGAGGACAGCTGTGTGGGACTCAGAGATGGAGGCCAGAAAAGTGTAATCTGCAGAGCCTGGTTCTTCCATGCACTCTGATGTTCCTCTTGCAACACCTAAGACATTCAGTTTACTCCTTTCTGTTTTCTACATTAGATCTAATACAAAATCTTTGACTGTCTTCTTCTCAGTGTAACAACACCATACTATAGTTCCGGTTTGCTGATTGAGAGGAGTGAAATCTACACTAAAGTCTATGCAAGAGCGGGCCTGGTTCTAATGTGGAACCGTGAAGATTCACTGATGGTATGTATGACACTGAACTTTACTTTTGCTGCTATTCGGTTTTAACAAATTAGCATAGGCTGAACAGAGTCATTGTGTTAAGCAGCCTCTTCCAACTGGGAATGGAGATAGTTTATTCTCAGGTGAGAAGGTTCCTTTGTCCATTATGTGACTGGAATTGGGCATAGAAAAGAACTTTCCTTCACTCTCAAGAGAAGATGAGACGGGAATGAGAAACAGCTAATATTTTGGTTAAAAAATCCTAACAAGTTCTGATCTGCAATCCATTTGATTGTCTCTTGGAGGATTGCTATGCTCTGTTATTCAGCTTCCCAGCCAGGAATAAATTCACCCCTTAAGGAAAAAAGTTATTTATATAAAGCACACTTTCTTCCTAAGCTTTGACATAATGTTGACAAGAGGCATCGTCACGGTATAGTAACTTCTCACATTCTTCCATGATATGTTTTTATTTTCCCATGGTAATTGTTTGCATTGGACTGTGTTACTATTATGTTAGATGTACTAAAACCTAATGTACAATGGAGAGGCATTCACTAACTCTCCTCTATTAACTTCCCTTGCTAGTGAATTTATTCTTGTTGGGAATGTTGTTGTTTTTTAGTGCTACAGCTGATTTTCTTTCTGGTTTTGTTTTCATTATTTAGTTGGAGCTGGATGCCAAGTTTAACAACCATACATGTGGTCTTTGTGGGGATTACAATGGACAGCAGCTCTACAATGAATTTATCTCTAACGGTAAGTGGTCTGACAGTATATATAGATACCATGTAAAGCAGGTGTATAGATATTGTATGTGGAAGCATCAAAGACGGCAAAGGTAGGATTTACAGTACAGGAACTTAAATTCCATCGGAGATTTTCCAGCGATTGTTAAGAGATACAGAGATAAATTATTAATGGTGTACTATATTCCAAGTGAATCAGCTGATTCTGTGGAGTCTTTGTTGGTGTAGGCCAGTGGTTCTCAAACTTTTGTACAGGTGACCCCTTTCACATAGCAAGCCTCTGACTGTGACCCCCCCCCATAAATTAAAAACACTTTTTAATATATTTAACACCATTATAAATGCTGGAGGCAAAGCTGGGTGGAGGCTGACAGCTCGCAACCCCCCCATATAATAACCTTGTGACCCCCTGAGGGGTCCCGACCCCCATTTGAGAACTCCTGGTGTAGATTTTCTCACTTGTCGGAATACTAGTGAGCTTTTCATGTCCATCTGAAATGGATTTTCTTAATAGTATTAAAATAGTCAGTACAGTGCCTGATATATAATAAACAGTTTGCTTGATCACTAAAGTGCCAGGAATCAGATGTGTATTGTTAAGTTTGCTGTGTTTATCAAGACTTTTTTACATCTTCCTCATAGACATGATCTTCAATCCGATCACATTTGGAAATATGCAAAAGATTAACAAACCCAACACAGTATGTGAGGACCCTGATGAAACACAGACTGTCACAACCTGTAATCAGCATGTGAGTAATCATAGTGGTCAACTTTACTTAGCTGGAGACATTCCTGTAATATGGGGAGACCACTGAGTGTGGAGATGGATAAGAGCCTGGAACTTTCCAAGGCACATACCATGTCCCTAACTAACTCTAAAGGTATTAACATTGTTATGCCTTCTAAAAGGAGAAGTAGAACTGATGAAAGATCTTAGTTGCACGTGTGCTGTTTCTGACACAGAATTATCCAGAGATAACCTAAGTCTTGGACTCATCCCTCTTTTGTAACCATTAGTGATGTCCAGAAGCCAAGCACCATTTTAGCTCAAAGGAACCTCTCTAGAAACTCTGGGGCCAGGGATGCCTTTTAAACTTTTCTTTTTTCCCCCCCTCCTCCTTAGCGTGATGAGTGTCTGAGTCTGCTGACTTCTTCAGTATTCGCGGACTGTGTGTCCCGTCTGAACCTGGAGATGTATGTTCAAGCCTGTATGCAGGATAAGTGTGCCTGCCAGGGAGCTGAGGATTCCTTCTGCCTTTGCAGCACCATCTCTGAGTACTCTCGCCAATGCTCCCATGCTGGTGGCCGGCCTGGAAACTGGAGGACAGAAAAGTTTTGCCGTAAGTATCTTCCCAAACTTGTCAGAGCCATCAGTTCATCCTGGGTGAAATATTTAAAACTGCCCAGCTTGTATATTTCCTGTTTTCCCCTCCCTTGTCTTTGTTATTAAGGACATTTATTGGAAGTAGAAATTATGTTCCAACTGAAAGCCGTATGGTTTGATCCTGCTCCCAGTGAAAGTAGTGGGATTTTTTGCCATTAATTACAGTGGAAGCATGATTAGGATTACTGTTCAAGAAGCAAGAAAAGAATGTAGAGAAGAAAAAAAGCGGTTCAGAAATTAAACACATTAAATACATTTGGCCAAATTGCAGCCAATTGAGTCAATTCCACTGATTTCATTGGAGCCAATATATGCTCTTTGGTTTCTGTGGAACGCAGAGTTTATATTCAAGTCACTGATCTTTTTCTTTCATTATTTTAGCTAAGACGTGCCCTGGAAACATGATCTACCAGGAAAGCAGCTCACCATGCATAAGCACTTGTTCCCATTTGGAAATCAGCAGCCTTTGTGAGGAACACTTCATGGATGGCTGCTTCTGCCCTGAAGGTAGGTGTCTCTCTCAGTCCTATCTGAGACAATAGGTTTGGATTCAAGTCTCTTCATATACTGCAGAATGTATCTGAAAAAGGCTGTATTATCTATACTTTACCTTCACTAAAAAAAACCCTGCAAGGAGTTCAGGACTGAAATATTCAGTATAAAGCAAGTTACATTTTAGAAATGAATACATTTTACCAGTGGAGTAAATTTGTCCTTGTAAATTAATAAAATTCTAGCATGTTTACAAAAGTAATGCATTAGCTTGGCTTTATTTAACTCACACTAACCCAGTTAGGCTCTTTATTTCTGTCTGTGGTTTATGAGACTGTTACCACCTCTGAACTGAGAGTTGGTCCTTTGGGTTAAGCAGTAGACATGCATGTTTTTAGATGTAGAGTTTCAGACCCCGTAGGTAACCCTGAGAAGGGGCATAATTACATATATATTATCTACATAATACAATATGTGACAATGAGCTCAAATGTAATATTCAAGACCTGTTGCCAACCTTGGAAAATATCTTCACAGTGATAGCACAACAACAATAGTTTAGGTGTATTTTAAATCCAACCATTTAGAATGTGCAGATTCAAGTTGAGATTTTCAAAGTGACACAGGGGATTTAGCCACACAACTTCCATTAAAAATATTAAATTAAACATTAAAAACAATGGAAGCTCTGTGGCCTAATCCCCTTTTGATATCTTCAATTACCATTAACTTTGGGTCTGGTTGAGAGTGTGTCTGCTCCCAAAGTTTCTCCTAGGTTGGTTGGTGCTGGTATTTTGACATGAACTATGAGAGCCTACGGTTGTGTTTTGTAGGAACTGTGTATGATGACATCAGTGGGAAAGGCTGTGTGTCTGTTAACCAATGTCACTGCAAACAGCATGGATCCCTGTATTCACCTGGGCAAAATATCACCAATGAATGTGAAGAATGGTAAGGATTACAATTCACTCTAAACCGCTCTCAGAATGACTGTGCATGGGTCTGTCAGCAGAGTTGCTACCTATTTGTATATGTCCTGCTGCAAAAGTCGTGGTGCCTTTCCATGTGTTGCAATATCAAGATGCTACAGTGAGCCAATTTTATGGCATCTTGAGTCTGTAATATGTGGAAGAGGAGAGTTTTAAATAAGCAGTCAATGACAAATTTTCAAAGCACCTAGGGGTACTTTGTCCTGACCCAATGGTGCTCTGTATACAGATGTTTTTCAGTGCTTTCAGTCCCTCTGACACCTAACCCCATTTTTGATTCCTTATTTATTTGTGTTTATAGCACCTGTGATTCAGGCAGGTGGGTGTGCAAGCACTTATCCTGTCCAGGCTCATGCTTAGTGGAAGGAGGTGCTCACATCACCACCTTTGATGGGAAGAAATACACCTTCCATGGAGACTGCTACTATGTGCTGTCCAAGGTATCGTGTATTAAAGATCTCTTCTCTCAGATAGCAAATATAGATGCATCTGCCTTCTGATTTAGTGGCTGTAGATCACTGTTCCATTATACTTTTTGAGGCTCGGGTCGGAGGACACTGTAGAGTCTATACTAGAGAATTCAAAGTGAGTCATGATCCCCAGTGTCCGCTGATCTGGTAGTGAGGGTTTGTGCTCACCGGCTACACTCTGACTGCCTTAGTCGTTTCCAATTTCATGACGATTATGGAACAGGTTTATGGTACGCAACCCATTCTCACTTATAAGAGTCCAGAGGAGCACACTGGTGCTAGTGAACAGATGGCTGGACCTGCAACTTGAAGGACTCAGCTCTGCCAAATAGATCTGAAATGAGGGTTGGAAATGTCCTACCTAATCTGTAATACACCTATGCTTGTATTTGGGTGATATTGAGTCAATTGCGGGGTGGGGGAGAGCACAGCGAGTTATGTCATCCCTTTGTCCCTGAAGTACCTGGTCCCCATTGCTCCAGAGAACAAGGATCTGACTTACCAACACTTGAATGCTTGCCACTGGAGCTTTGAAAGGAAGTCCTAGTTCCGGTGGTAGTGCTAGAAAGAAAGTTCTCAAACGTAAAGCTCTACAGTGTTTGTTAGTTTAACAGATGATTTCAGTCCTCTGTGATAGAAATCAGCTCAGGGTATGGAAGAGCTGCCTCTGTGTCATAGACTCACTGTCCCGGAGTGCTCCTGTGTGGCATGAAACAACATTTCAGCAACTCCACCTAGCTCTCTTCCTTGGGACATTAGTGGTCTGGTCTGGTGGTGACTTGGCCTTCCAGACAGGTCACACTATAGTTCCATCCCTTCTGAAGTATGAATGTCCCAAAAAATGTCTGACAAAATAATGGTAGCAAATATAATGCCTTCCACCTCACCTGGGCTCTTCTTCAGTCTCAGTTTATTTCCAGAGCAGAAGGTCTCAGGGCTTCTCCCTGGAATCCTCCAGTAAAACAGACAAAACACAAAATAAGCACCTTCTGCCTCAGACTTTAGTCTATCTTAGGCTTCCCCAAGTTCTCCGCTCTCCTGCGGAACTGTTATGCACATGGCGGTCTCCTTGGAGTCCTGCTCCTTTTTCAAGGCTCACCCTAGGAGTTAATTGTATGCTTATAGCCTTCTCCTGGATCCCATCTGGCCCTTCCCACAGAGATGGAAGTCCAGACCATTTCTCTCCTCCTTCCAGCTGCACTGAACTCCTTCCTTTTACCCCTGGCCCTAGACCAAATGGCGCCCCAGGCAAGGAGCGTCTTTGGCACCCCCCCTCCATTTGTTAAACTTTTGAATACCTTATTTTTTATTGCGTTTGTAGCCCATTTCATGACTTTGATGCACGATTTACATGCATGATTTATCCATGTCATATAAGACAATAAATTTGCATGCTAGGATCTATACAACAAAAACAGCACCCCAAGCCTGGAACCCCAGGCGCTCACCCAGGTAGCCTGCCCCTAAATCCGGCCCTGTTCATCCCTGAGCCTGACACATACTCCAGGTGTAATAATGTGTGGGTAATAGAGCGCTCAGGCTCCAATTAACCCCTTCTCAGCCAGTGTGGGGTTTATACAAACCATCAGACTGTACTAATTTATGTTTTTTTCCACTTTGATTACAGGGAGGTATAAATGACACTCACGCCCTCCTGGCAGAGCTGTCTCCCTGTGGCTCCACAGACAAACAGACCTGTTTGAAGACTGTTGTGCTGTTAATAGACCACAAGAAAAATGTAAGTGATATGAGGGGGTCTGCTGGATGTGTGGATTCTCTCAATGTATTTCCTGATTTCTCTTTCCCTACTTACTTTTGATAATCTTTCTCTGAGGATCCTGAGTAAGGATGGTTGAATACAGAAAAAATAAAAAACAGCCAAATGTTTGTACAAATCCCAAAGCAGATTGGCACTGCACAGTCTGAACAAGTTCAGAGTTAAAAGTTTTTGCTTGACTTTTTCTTTCTTTCTTTCTTTCTTTCTGGTTCTGTCCAGTGCTGGAAGCATTGTAAGTCTGCTCTCATGGGATTTCCAGTCTGACTGGAAATAAGAAGTCCTTGATATTTTATTTTATTGAGATTTAAGTGCAGTTTTGCAGACCTAAGATGTTCTGGTTGGGATTCAAACTCTTGAATACTGATCAAGCCAAGCTTCTCAACTGTCTGAATTTCACTCAAGATTAATAGTGATGGGGGACATTGAATAAGAGTGAGAATTTCTAATCTGCCCACTTGTCTAATCTATTTTTTTCTGTTCTGTCTTTCTAATTTATCTCTAATGCTCCCGTCATTATAGTACCTAGACCTCTGAGTTTTTTCTCCTCCTTTCCTGCCATATAGTTCTGGTCTTCTTGGCTCTTGACAGTAACATTTGTGAAACTAGTTATGTTCCCAAAAGTACATACTAAAATTTGTATTAAGAATTTCCTGAAGCACTTCCTTATCATTCTGTCAATGCTGTACAATTATGTAAGAAATAACACATGGCAAGGTGTGTGCTTATAGCAAATCCCCACACATGACTGGTGTCAAGTGCCAAATGTTTTCAGCCCCTTGGCAAAGTTGGTATCCAGAATAAGTGACTTTCTTGAAGCATTTTTTCTCTAGTAGAAACTGTTTTAGTATACATTAAAAAATGTGTCTAACAAGCCCAAAGCTTTGTACATGTACTGGATGCTAGGGCAGACAGAATCTTCATTAGCTAATTAGATTGCTCCTTTTTTAAACTGTGACTAGAATATTGAGTTTGTCTGCACAAAGTAGCATGATCCCTTCTTGTCTCCCAAGTTTTAAGGTTAATATTCGTGGTGTGCTTCCCTCTGCGTACATGAAGTTGCAGTAATTTAAACATGTTCTCTTTGCTTGCACACAGATCTTGGTTTTCAGATCAGATGGCACTGTGCTGCTGAATGAACTGGAAGTGCACTTGCCTCATGTGACAGGTAAGGAATGTGACCACTTCTCCAATGCACATCTGATGTTACCGGAAAAACAAGCTCTTTATGTGTTAGGGCCTTTGATGAAAGAAAGGCAGAGAGGCATTTCCTGAATGTTTGTGCTGGAATGAACTGGATTGCAATGTAAAGAGCTTGAGAGGAAGGGGACTTGAGAAAATACATGGAGGAATTTGTGACCTAACCACCAGAGGGTGGCTCTATGTACAGAGGCTAATCAGGAAGGATGACTTTGTGGGTAAGGCACTGGCCTGAGCCCCAGTGCTGCACAGGCTTCCCGTATGATGTTGGGCAAATAGTTTAATCTGTGTGTGTCTCACATAAATAGATAGAAATGAACTTCACTGCCAGCATATATTCTGGGTGGGACCAGGAATGTCATATTTAACTCCAGGGTAATTTTTACCCATATACTCTGGTGAGGAGAGAGCAAAAGTTTTCTGATTTATATCTATCACTTAAATTCCAACAAGAGGATCTTTTTCTTCTTGTTTCCTTTTCCCCTTTAAGTACTCCTTTCAAGGCTGGTGGTCTTGGGGACTGACCTTAGGTCTCTCTGTGGCTGAACTGACATGAGTAGAAAGCTCAATGGAGGCATCAGCTTACATTTGGGGTATGGAGCTTTAATGGGACAGTTACTTTATATTAGTGTCAAACAACGCCCTGCGGTGAAGCACAGAGCAGTGCTGATGGTGCCTAGAAAGAGTCACATTTAGCCTTTTTCTGCTAGAAAGAAGTTTGCAGTGAGGCAGAATCTGTGAGCGTTGTTGTGGGAGATCAGTAAACGGAGGATCCTGAAGTAACCTCCCCAAAAATGTGTAAATCCTTTTAGCACTGCTTATTGTGAATGTTTACGCTGCAGAGTCACCAGCTCCATGATCAGCACCTCTTCTCAGTCACTGCCACCTCTACCAAAAACTACTCAGTTGCATAGATAGAGGGGAGGGAGGATAGACACACATGGAAGGAGAAGTTTGTAATTGCCTGGTAGAAAGGATTCAGATCAAAGTACTCTACAGAATGAGCAATATAATATACAGGCCACATATTAAATAGCCTCACCTTAGCATATGACTCCTTCTGGGCAACATCAGAGAGGCACCAGTAGGCAGGGCTCTTCCAGTTTATTTATTTTGTAGGGCTGTTCTGTTGATTTTTCCACTCAGGCTTGATAATGCTGTATTGCCTATATATAATACCTCCAAGTGTGTCAGAGCTCAGCTGTTTTTGAGTGTTTTATGAACAGCTGGCACATACAGTGAGCTGGTTTAACATTCACCCAGTTCAGTTCCTGGGAATAAATATCCACACCCCCAATCAGTAACAGCTATGGTTCTCAAACCATTCCATATTATGACACTCTTTTCCATAGTGGGACCCCTCTCCCATTTAGCAATATGGGAAGGGCAGGGTGGTTATGACCCCTGACACCTGTTTATGACTCAGGTTGAGAATCCCAGTTCTGGGGAATACAGGTGACTGGAAAACCCTATGCTAAAAAATATATGGGTAGCTTCAAAAACAACTCTTCTTTTTGTTCTTTGGATGTGACTTCAACTCAAGCATCAATTAAGTTCAGCACTTGTAAATTAGAAGCAAGGAATGTTTAATAGGGAGTTCAATTTTGGGATGCTTCTTTTATTGAAGAGCTACTTCTTTTTGATATGTACAATTGAGTAGTGCTTCCATTTGATATAATATGACATACCATCCATTCTTACAATGATTTATGGATGTAGGATAAAAGGGGGAAAGCAATCTCAGTCTCCATACTTAAGGGCATACATTGATCACTGGGTGAGGTCCAGAAGAAATGTTCCCTGCAGTGTAGATTTAACATCTTCCCCTGAGCTATCCAGCACTGGCCAATATCAGAGAGAGGACACTGAACTAGATGGACCATTGGTCTATTCTGGAATGGCAATTCCTCTCTCTATTTGGGGGATGTCCAGGGTCTTACCATTAGTTGCTCCAGATATTTTGTGTTAGATTGAATTGGTTTTAAAACAGGAATCTGACTGGAATATGTCATCATTACAGTGGCAGGAACTTATGAGTCACCATCATTCTCCTCTCAGAAGGATAGTGGGAATTGCCCCTTTGAGTCACTGTCACTGCTGTTCCTTTCATTGTATCCAGCATTCACTGTGACACCTGAGGTACCAAACCCTTAAGTAAATAAACCAGTCCATGGAGGAAGTGGGAAGAACAAGGAGATCTTCAAATAGAAACAGGAACAAATGGTAGTTAAGCAGGGGGCATAGGGAGGGAGACTCTTACTTATTGTTATAAGTTACATATTGTGATTTTTCAAAAAAGCTTTTAATACAGTAGCATATAACTCAGCACTGTGAGTCGTCATGCCACAGATCGGAGATCAGTTTGATTCCTGATCCCACACAGTCATCATAAGCAGCTGGGTTGTTAATATAGCAGGGGCTGGCACTATAGCTAAGTGGTCAGTGTTCTTCAGAGCAAAATAAGAGAGGTTTATGTCACCGGTCCTGAGTTAACTGTGCCTCTCATGCCCTCTCCCTCTCTGGGAGGACACCCCACTTATGTCTCAGGCATCTAGCCATCACCTTTCCTGGGGCAGGATCCCCCACGGCCCTCTCCCTTCAGATGGGGGCTTTGGCTGCAGACTCCTGCAATGCACTGTGATCACCTCAGCAGATCTGACTTCAGTCCAGCACTTGCTGTTGTCTCAGTGACAGTGAGGATAGGGTTAACAGTGACCAGCCAGTCCTCATAAAGCCAAGTATTAGTTATTCAGAACAAAAGCATTTCAGAAACAAACATATCTTTAAAACTCTGAACAATTTATATGCATGTCTGGCTCACCAAACAATCACCCGTCTTCCACATGGAATCTCGGGTGTGTTTTAAAATGCTTTGAGCCCTCTCACAAAGTCTGTCTCTGGACACAGACTCATGTGAGAGAGAATATCTCCCAGGTCGGTGCTGTCATTTTGTACAGTTTCAAGTCCTCTGCCTGTTAAGACTTTTTGAACTAGGTCAAACCAGTAGATGTTATTGCCCAGAGGTTTCGGTATTGGGGATTTGCATTAATTATTATCCAGTGTCTTTAGTTCCTGTGGGAAGCATCCTTTAGCTCACCCATTGAGCCAGGAATACAATCACTAACTAGCGCATAATGATACGTGTAACATTTATAAAGTTGATACAATAGTCTTTGAAAATTCCATGTTTTCATAGCATCGGATCTGTCAGAATCTGATCTTTGGTCCTCTGCCTGTTGCAGTTTTCAGGGCAGATGGTGACTCGGGCTGCTCATGTAAAGTGTTGCTTTCAGCAGGCTAGTGTTTTCCTGTCTGTGACATTTCTGGATGATAACAGAAAGAGGTGATAAAAACAAATAAAAAATCAAGGAAACATGACTTTTCTTTCCTTTTGTTTTCCAGCAAGCTTCTCAGTTTTCCAGCCAACTTCATACCATCTCATTGTGCATACCTATTTTGGTCTCAAGCTACAAATCCAATTGGTTCCAATCATGCAGCTGTTTGTGATTGTGGATCAATCTGCCCAAGGAAAACTGCAAGGTAAGTGCCCACTTATGTCTACTTCTAAAGGAGAAATGACGCAGCAAAAATATTTGCAACTGAAGTGCTGTGTGTTCTTAACATTGATGGTGAGATGGGTCTGTGACTGGCATAGCAAGAAATTGCTAGCTAATGAATTATTCCATACTAATTAAGATACTAAGGAAACTGTGTGCCTGCAAGATACTAATATAGACTTAACGAATGAACACTTTTTCATATTTAGTGATACATATTTTTTAAAAGGCACCGGCTCTAGAGACAGAAATGCTTAGGTGGTTGAATATAGGAAGAATGAGAGCAGAATCCAAAATTTCATGAGAGAATGGCCCCACAGCTCACACATTTTACAGATGAATTATTGATATTACAGATTAAATAAACCCGTCACCCCCATGTCAATGCAGGATTGATCGCTGGAATATATTCCCCACAGCTTTGTTCAGTCTAGTTTTAAATTACTTAAGTGGCCAGTCTTGGGAAACTATTCCATAAAAGGATGATAGGAAGAATTCCCCAAAACTCCGAACACCAGTTGAGGATCACCTGCCCCAGAGCTTGGATTTTTAAAGTGAGACCCCCCCAAATGTCTACTTTTGTGATTGCAATTTTAATACTGAGTTGGAGGAGCCCTCTGTTTGACAATCTGACTGCTAGTCATGTGGTAAATCATCCTTTTCCTCTTCTGTTGCTCTTTTAGAAGAAGAATGAATAATAATTATTTTTAAACACCACATTTTTTTCTCAACAGGTCTTTGTGGGAATTTCAATGGCATAGAATGTGATGATTTTAAAACAGCTGGTGGGCTTGTGGAAGCTACAGGATCTGCCTTTGCTAACACTTGGAAAGCACAAGCCACCTGTAGAGACCAAGTGGATAATTTGGAAGACCCTTGTGCTCTCAGCTTTGAAAGCGGTAAGAATACTACATTTTCATAGAACCTCTTTCCTCCAAATTTTATATCTCATACACAGTCAGTCAAATAGCAGTATCAAAATAATAATCTTTATTTAGAAGGCTGATAAGTTAATAATGTGTGTGCTTGTCTGATGTACTGTGGGCTTGCACACATCAGCTAACAGGTGCTTCCCTTTGAGAGTAATTGATTGTCCTGTGGTTAAGGCATGCAACTAGGCTGTGGAAGACCCAAGTTCAAGTCCTTGATCTGCCTGGTTCAGATGGTAATAAATACACAATAAAGCTATTATTTCAAAATCCCATTAGTCATCTATGGGACCCTGGAGAATTTACTTGGTAATGTGTCAGATTCTTAATCTGAGGGTCCAGTGTTCAGCTTTCTGTTCAGGCAGTAGGTTTTGATCCAATGGCTGGAAGTTGAAGCTAGACAAATTCATACTGGAAATAAGAATATTTTTTTAACAGTGAGCGTAATTAACCATTGGAACAATTTACCAAGGCTCCTGGTAGATTCTCTATCACTGATGATTTTAAAAGGAATATTGGATGCTTTTCTAAAAGATCTGCTCTAGGAATTATTTTGGGGACGTTTTATGGTATGTGTTATACAGGAGGTCAGATTAGATGATCATAATGGCCCCTTCTGGCCTTTGAATCTGTGACTCTATAAAAGAGATGGTAAGTTCAGAGGGAAATTTCAGGGGCAACCCTGTGTTGAACGACACAGAAGAAAAGTCGTTAATATATTACAATAAATGTCTGGAGTAGTGGTGCACCTTCCTTAGCATTATTGCTTCTTTTTAAGTTTAGCTTGGATTTGTGATCCTCTGATCATGAGTTCTCAAACAATTGGAAGCTAGAGGAAGACAATTCTGTGTAGGAGGACTCCATTAATAGGATATGATTTCCACTATGTGTTTGCCAGTAGGTATTTGAATCAGAGACTGTGGGCCAAATTTATAGCGATTCTGTGCAATCTCTCCACTCCCAGAAAAGTTTAGGGTTCTCATTTTTATCATTTTGTTGCTTGGGTCAGATTATTTTGCATATTGTAATGTGACAATATGGTGCAATAGGATATGATGCAAGGAAAATAATTCGTTCTCTCTCCTTTTGTTACAGAAAATTATGCTGAATATTGGTGTTCCTTACTGAAAAATTCAGAATCTCCTTTTGCTAGATGTCACTCAGTCATTGATCCTGTGGAATATTATAAGGTGTGGATTTTATACTATACTGACACCTTCTGGCACTGGTCTAATATGTGTTTTACCATATACATATTTTCAAGGGATTATTGTAACTTGGCCATAAAAAATGGTTCAAATTTTGTAACGTCCAATGGCATTGTGTGCATCCCTGATCTCCTACAACAGGCTTTCTCATAGAATGCTAATTTAGAAGATGGAAATCATTGTGCTTTTTTGGGGGTGGGGCTAGTGTGTGGTGAAAGGGCACTATAGAGTCTCATTTTCATACGAGAATTCAAGAGAGGCAGGAATACTGAGCCATGACAGTCACATGTTAAGCCAGTCCTTAACCATTAATGTAATCTATGTTGTGGCTTAATAAACAATAAATTGAGTTTACTTGATCCAGAGATAAACAACAACCCATTTATGTGTCATTTTATTCCTGGTCTGTTTCCCTCTGCTTTCAGTTCTGTTGAGGAGGGATAAACAAACCAATCTGGGGAGAACAGAAAGAACCCCTTAACTTTTACTCATTTCTATAATTCAGTCTGAGCTGAACCTTTGTGAAGATCTTAACCCATTCAGCTAATTTTTTTGCTTTTATTATGTTTAATTTCTGTGGGTTTGTACATTTCCGGGTTGTGACTGATCAGGAATTAAAAGTATCAAAATTCCCTTAAAAAGACTGCTGTTAGGAAACTGACTAAACTTTGGACTTTCAAAAGGTTTGGCTGTTCAGATTTGGCAAACTATCCACATTTTTTATGCTTAATCAAACGCACCCTGAGCCTTTTTGGGTTTGTCCTTCACTAATGGGTAGCTCTCTGCTCATCTACTGTGCTCTCTGATTATGGGAGTGAATGAAAGCCACATGGGAAAGAAGGTACTGGGTGTTCTACAGTTACTGTACTGGAGCCCCGGTTTTCACAGTCTTCATTTTATAGTTCTAATCCTCCTCCTGCAGGTGTGTTAACAATTTGCTTCTTATTTGTCTCAGAGATGTAAATATGACACCTGCAACTGTAAGAACAGTGAAGAATGCTTGTGTGGGGCCCTCTCCTCTTACGCAAGAGCCTGTGCCTTCAAAGGAATCATGCTGGGGGGCTGGAGACAAAGTGTCTGCAGTAAGTGATGACACTGTAATCCCCTTGAAATCAGTCATAGAAATGGACAGAGTGCACCCGACGACAGTTACATTAACCTCAGTGTTAAGAGTTTAGAAGTGCCTTGGAGATGCCCAATACAATTTAAGGGGACAGTGTCAAGAATTTTGAATAGTTAAAGCTGTATTCTTTAAATGTCCTTCGTTTATAGGACAACTTCATAAACTGGGGAGTAATTATTTTCCCTTTCGTCATCTCCTCTACCACTTCACAAACACTGATCTGTCTTCTCTTTGTCCAGTGGACTATAAACCATCATGGCACATCCATTTTATTTATTTTCTTGGTTGTGTACCAGCGTTATCAATGGTATCATCAACACTGGGAACTGGGCTTTGTTAAATTGTGCTTCTATTGGAGGGTTATAGGGATATGAAGCAACAGAAAAAAAGATATTATTATTAGAAAGCAAATTCCAATAGCAAAAGATCAGTTAACTAAAGGGAAAAGAAAAAGAAACAATGCTACATATATATTTAATGGATCTTTTCATTGCTTCCTCTATATACTCAACTCCCATTTATAATAAAAGAAATTATGCATGTTCATTAAAGGAAGAATATACCCTTTAGAATGGAATAGTATTACCTCCTAGATGGTAATTTAAAAGGTAGGACAAAGTTAAGGCAAAACTATTTATTAATTACGATAATTTATTCCATAATACAATGAGAGGGAGTCCCTTTATTTTTACTATTACATACTGCCTGGGCAGAGTGATCACAAAGAAAGATTTAAATTCTATAATGCCTGGTCAGGGTTTTTTTATTTGCCAGTATAGCAACCATTGGTCTTTTCCCCCCTCTCCAGACAAAGAAGTGTCCTCTTGCCCAGCATCCCAGGTCTTCCTTTACAATCTGACCACATGTCAACATACCTGTCGCTCCCTTGCTGATGGCGAAAAGTACTGCTTGGAGGGCTTTATTCCCATTGATGGCTGTGGCTGCCCTGATAACACCTATATGAATGAGAAGGGTAACTGTGTGCCCATCTCCTATTGTACATGCTACTATAAAGGGTCATACCTGGAACCTGGGGATGTCATCGTGAAACAAGAAGAACGTTGGTAGGTTATTTTATGGCTTGTCACTTGTGGATTGTGGAGGTGAAAGCCCCCCCTTCTTATCTTTGCTTATTAAATATACTATATATTGATATTGATGGTGATACCATGTAGATAAAAGGTATATATTACCCGCCACCACCCTAGCAGAACAAAACGTCATACTGCTGTAAGTTAACTTATCTGATCCTGCACCACTAGAGTCAATGGGAGTTTTGCTAGGCAGTGGGGAAAAGAAGCTACATGAGCAATTAGTGGGTTTCTCACTGAAAACAGATTATTCTAACAGTTAAAACAGTTACTAATTGATACCCATTTAATCAAGATTGTGGAGTTCCAAAACCAACATGCAGGCTCCCAGAAGCAATAGTCTTTTGCATGAACTCCAGTGACTCATGCTGTGAATGGTAAAATATTTCCTTGCCTTTCAAGGAGGAGAGAACTAGAAGATAAGAGTACAAGCCAATGAGGTTATTGCATTTGACTGGAGTTGGCATAAAATGGTGATATGTATTTATTGGAGGCTAAGGACATGCTCTGAAAGGGTATGAGCATGTATTCCCTTGATTGCTAAAAAGTGCAATTTTGAGGATTTGCAGGATAATTTGTGGCCATTCTTTGAAAATCATTAATTTACCATCTGTTTATAATGTAACATTCAAAAGTTCTGCAGAACTTTCCCCAAAGCTCACTATGAAATCTCTGTTGAAATCGTGGGACTTCCTCCCCAAGGTGCATGTTTCACAAAGGCCACTACTAAACATTATTCCACTAATAGATCAGTTGGGTTCATTATTACTTTAACACCTAAGAACATACCACAGCAATAAGGAATTTTTGAAAGTCCAAAAGAATAATTGTCTGGCAGAAATAATAATCTCATTTGTTCATTTATGCCTCTGCAAATTGTTCTCAGATGTTTATCAATTGAAAACATTAGTCTTACATCCTATGAATTTCTATCTTCTCCTCCTTTTTAGTGTTTGCCGAAATGGAATTCTCCATTGCACTCAAGTGAAGAGAAATGAAAGTAAGTGAAATGCTTTACAGAGAAACATCTCAGTTTCTCATTTGAATTCACCACTTGTTTCTTTTTCCCTTCTGTGAAACAGTCACCACCTTTCACTTTGCTTTTGGCTGAGGATTTTACCTTGTATTAGAAAGGATATTTTCATTTATTATTTTTTAAGGGGTAAACGCTGCTGTTTCTGTCTCAGTATCTAATAACGCCCCATTTATTTTCTGTTCCCTTGATCTTCAGTGTTCACCCATCTCACATGGTATCTTTTTTTACAGCGTGTCAGTCCCCCAAGATTCACTTTGATTGCAGCAGTGTCAAGTCTTGGTCTTCACAAACCCCTCTGCAGCTAAGCTGCCATACGCTGGGTACTGACTATGTAAGTTTTCATTTTACCTCTGACTATGGCATGGCTCCTTCTTTCCCTTAGTCCCTAAATGAAGCAGTGCAAATCTGACCAACATGATCTTTTAGTCTTTTTTCTCTTGTTTCCTTTTATTTCCATCCTTTCTTTTCTTTCATCATTTTTGTTCTAGTTCTCCACTACTTTTTGCCATCCTTTCTCTTTTCACTGATTTGTCTTCCCTTTTCTCAGTAGGAAAACTATGGATTAGTTGGATAGACATTTTGTTTACAATACAGCACTGTAGTTTTCTGTGTAGAACAAAAGTAAGATAGTCTGAACTTAACATCTCTGTAAAATATGAAGGAAATTCTCAGGCACTCAGATACTAGAAAGATGAGACCGATGGAAATAAATAAATTAAAATGGCTGAGTTATAAACCAGGGAATGAAGCACATGGGATGAATGTTTGTAGAAGAAGTGGGATAACAGAGAAATCGTGTTTTCTTATAAAATAATATAATTTTTTGTCTTATTTTCTTTAGTTCCAGACAGAGTGTGTCTCAGGGTGCATGTGTCCTCATGGACTGATTGATGATGGCAGAGGGGGCTGTGTCAGGGAGAAGGACTGTCCATGTATTCATAACAAGCAGTTTTATTCTTCTGGAGAGGACGTAAAAGTGGGCTGCAACAAATGGTAAGATGCTGTAAAGTTCTCGACTTTCCTTTTGATGTATATTTCTCGTAGTAAATGAATAGTAATGAAATGGTTTAAATACCACTGTGATGAGCAGGATATAGGTATACAAGCCTTGATTCTCAGCCCCACTCTGGCTTCTTTGTGACCTCGGATGACTCCTTTTTGTGTAAATTTAGGTAATCATCTTACAAACATTAAGGTAATCATCTCTGTTTATCTCAGGCAACACTGACAAGTTTTTAGGGTGATCACTGTAACTGAGCTCAGAATCCGTCTCTCTGCCAGGGGCATCTCTGATTGGATAGTAGTGTAATTTTTGGGTAGTGTTGATGCGGGAACAAAAAAGGAAGCTGTGCAGAGCTAACAACCATGCTATAAATTTGTCAGTGGGCCAATTCCATGTGGGGACTGTTAATGAGATGGTGATTTATAATACCCTGTGCCATAATATTATGCATGTGATGGATTCCATGTTGTGTCAGCCAGCTATGTGATTTATCCTGCAGCTTCCAAAGCAGCATACATCAGCATTAGGACTTGACTTTTCAGATTTCATCCAACTCTTTTATTCTTTCCCTAGTACCTGCCAAAAAGGAAAATGGACCTGCACCAATAATGTGTGCTTTGGGACTTGTACTATATATGGAAGTGGCCATTATATCAGCTTTGATGGAAAACACTATGACTTTGATGGACACTGTGAATATGTGGCTGCCCAGGTAATGTCCAATGGGAGCCGTGAGCCGACAGATCTTCTAAAATGAATTAAAAGTTCTACAACAACATAGCTATCAGTTTGGTTCTTGGACCATCTGTCTTAGACCCTTTTTCTTTAAGATCACTGTTTCTGTGGTGATTGCAGCTTCTGCCAAGTTAAATTCCATATTTGCAACAAATCCTAGCTGTGCAAGGAAATTAATGGCACTTGAGTGAACATTTCTTCTGCTGATGTTGTTGCAGATTGTACACAACTGGGCTAGCTCGACAATGAAAGTTGTCAGCTCATTAATGCTACTTCAAAGCAAGTGGCTGATTCTGAAATTGGAAAACAAATATCCATATCTTTTGGGACATAAACTATTGTTTAATTCAATTGTCCCACTTCTTTCCCAGTATTTGGTAAACATAGAGTTAAATGGCACGTGTGTGTGTGTGTGTGTGTGTGTGTAATGGAATTTGAAGAATAAATTTAAATTATTTTAGATTGAAATCAAAATAAATAATATGGTTCCTTTCATTGACTTATGTTTCTTTATTCCACTCTCAACAGGATTATTGTGGTGAGGATCTCGATGGTTCGTTTAGTATCGTCACAGTGAATGTTCCATGTGGAACCACCGGAGTCACCTGCTCAAAGGCTATTAAAATATTTCTAGGGGTGAGTGGTGGCCCTGGATGGGTTCAGCCCTAGAGTGCAACTGATCAAAACTGCCCTTTGCTTGTAGTCATGTTCCTTGAAACTGAAAGTTGGCATAGCTCCATTAAAGTGAATGGAACTATGTGATTTCCACTTGCTAAGGATTTAGGCAGGTTTGGCAGTCTTAGCTTCACAATGAAGTCCATCAGCATCATCATTCCAAGAGCTTGCCTCACTATAAAGCCAGTGCTGTTATATCCCTTCTCTTTCTGTCCTTCAGAGAACTGAACTGAAGTTGGAGGGCAAGAAATATGAAGCAATTCAGCGAGATGTTGGCCACGATATACAGTATTGGACTCGTACAGTGGGGCTCTATCTTGTTATTGAAGCCAGCAATGGCGTGATGCTCATCTGGGATAAGAAGACTACTATTTTCATAAGTCTGGTTCCTTATTATAAGGTGAGCAACTCTAGGCCTTTTTTCTAAAATATTATGGAATCTGCTGATGTGATCATGAATAGTTGAATGCAAGTAAATACGGATGATGCTTTATTGTTACTCTTAATAGTGTCCCTAAATCTTGTTTAAGTTGATGATTCATATATATCTTGAATTATCCATGATGGCGGGTGCCATTGTATGTTGCTTCTTATGGTATGATCCAGTGCAACAATACTGGTGGGTGTATTGTGTACTATTGCAATATGGATGAGCAGTCCCCTGTGGTTTTCCAGTAGGTGTAAACATTAACACTCTAATACAAATCCCGCTGAAGTTCATTAAAATATTCTTGTTGACTGTTATGCGTTTTTGGATCAGGCCCCAAAAGAATAAACTCTTGGGACCCCAGATATCATTTTCTCATCATTATAGACCAAAACTTTGCTCTATATTGTAAAGTAAGTGAAAAACAGAATAGGGGCCCTATTTTCCAGACGATCTGTAAACATATTGTGAGCTATATTGCTAGGCTTAATCTCTCAAGCAGTGGTAGAGGCCAACTTTTATTTGGAGGCATTTCACTATTAAATCACAATTTATTCATTATATATAATAATATAGTGTATGTGTGTATTTTATATATGTATGACCCTTAATACCAAAGAAATGGCCAAAACTATTGGCTATTCCCCAATAGAAGACAGAACAAAAATTTACAAGATTGCCACAGACTAACCCCAGCTCTCAAATAATAATGCAACATATTTTACATATTTTACCTTGGGGAAATGCAGTTGTGGTTCAAGTAGTGCAAAGTGTGGCAACATCTCACAGCCTCTGTGTAAGGGACCTGTCTGAAAAGAAACTAAAAGTTCTTCATTGATGAAACTGCTTCCAACCTGAACATCTTCCCTTATAAAACATTTGACTTGTTTAGCAAGGGACTCCAGCAGCCTTTTGTAGTGCATTAGGGGCTGTGAACACAGTTTATGACCCCATACTTGTGCCCATTTATGACACTGCTTTATTTGTTTTCCTAAGCGGGTAAATGTTTTCATGACCCTTTGCTGGAAATCTTGAAGTAGCTTGAGTAGGGTTAAAAAAATGGAGGGAGGAGCAAAAGTGAGGCAAAAGTTTACTAGTTTTTATTGCAGCCACATCTTTGACTAGAAGGATGCCAGCCAACCAAAACCCATTGAAGCCACTGTACTAGCTTTTAAGTTTTATTCAAGGAAGCTTTATTTCTTCCTTATTCCATCTTACTATTTGCAAGTGATGGAAATCTGCCTTAAAGATGATTAGCCAACTCTTCAAAGTTAACATTTAATAGACTTAGGGCTAAAATTTCAGTGCATTGTGTACTGGAAAATTTAGTCATGTGACTCCTATTTATATAATAGGACTCATGCAGCTAATTTGCTGCATACCACAATGCGCTGTAAAGAGATGGCTTGTTATCAGGTGAGAGAAGTATAGCCATTGTTTGAATCCTTATAAATTGAATGGGAGGCTGCAAAGAAATATAGATATAGTTCAGAGGTGGGCAAACTACGGCCCGCGGGCCACCTGCGGCCCAGGGGACTGTCCTGCCTGGCCCTTGAGCTCCCGGCTGGGGAGGCTGGCCCCCAGCCCCTTCCCCGCTGACCCCCATCTCCCGCAGTCATGCCGCCACGCGGGCAGCGCTCTGGGCTGCAGGGTTGCGCGCTCCTGCCGAGCAGCACGGCAGCGTGTCTGGCTTCGGCCGGGCGGCGCGGCTGCCAGACATGCTGCTCTGAGCGGCATGGTGAGGGGGCTGGGGCCGGGGGGTTGGATAAGAGGCAGGGAGGTCCCAGGGGGCAGTCAGGGGACAGGGAACAGGGGGCAGTTGGATAGGGCAAAGGTTCTGGGGGGCGGTCAGGGGACAGGGGACAGGGAGGGTTGGATAAGTGTGGGAGTCCCAGGGGGGCCTGTCAGGGGGTGGGGAACAGGGGGGGTTGGATAGGGGGTGGGATCCCGGGGGCGGTTAGGGGTGGGGGATCCCTGGGAGGCAGTTAGGGGACAAGGAGCAGGGGGGGTTGGATGGGTCGGGAGTTCTGAGGGGGGCAGTCAGGGGGCGGGAAGTGGGAGGGGTCAGATAAGAGTCGGGGGCCAGGCTGTTTGGGGAGGCACAGCCTTCCCTACCTGGCCCTCCATACAGTTTTGCAACCTCAATGTGGCCCTCAGGCCAAAAAGTTTGCCCTCCCCTGATATAGTTACTAGATACTGTATGTAGCAAGAAAGGAAGACACAGGTTCCTTGCCTGGGCTACCTGGTAGCTTGTTAACCAGGGAGATAAACACATAAAAATAAGTTTAACTTATACACATGATTTTAAAGTAAAGATGAAAATAAGTAAGTTACAGGGAGAAATCGTTCCCTCACTTTGTGTCTTTGTTTTGGTTCTAACTCTACTTGTGCTCACTTACTGGGTAAACTAAAAATCTGATGACATGTTCTGAAATCAAATATCTTTTGCTTTTTCAGGGCAAAGTCTGTGGTTTGTGTGGCAACTTTGATGACACGTCCAACAATGATTTCACAACAAGGAGCGGGCTGCAGGTGACCAATCCTCTGGAGTTTGGTAATTCTTGGAAACTGTCTGGCTCCTGCCCTGATGTGGTGGATGAGATCCTGCCCTGCAATCTGAAACCTCACCGCAAGTCCTGGGCAGAGAAGGAGTGCAGCATCATCCGGAGCGAAGTCTTTAAAGATTGTCACGCCAAGGTTAGTAGAGAGGCTGGTGGCTACTACCTACAAGTGAACCTCTGTGCAAGAAGACAGAGGAAGGCTGAATTTGCACAGCTGAGTGAGGGAATAGTTAATCATAGTAGCCTCAGAAGTTAAAAACTGGAAAAGACCTTTTGAGATCATCAAGTCCATCCCCCTGATAAGAACAGATACTACACTTGAAAGTTAGATGTTCAGGCATCCGCTATTCCTTGGGATAGTCAAACCAGGGATTTGGTATGTTTTCATACATTGGACTGAAGCATCCACTTGTTCTAGTTTGGGAGAAATTCCCTGCCACGGTATTGTTTGTGAGCCACACAGAAGTAACACTCTGTTTACATATAGAATGCAGGTTCCTTTCTAGTGTGCAGACTGGGATCCCTATCCAGTATATCACTGGGTTTTTATGGATCCTCCCCTCCCCAATCGCAGATAGTGGTTCTGACTGTGGACAGACTTTAGATGTTTCCATCTGTTGCATTGCATTCTCCTTGTTTTAAGTGATAATTGGTATCAATCAGCTCATAGTTTAAGCATGCTTACATCACCCTCTCTCATATTAAATTGCATCCATAATCATAATAACAAAACACAGTGTTCTAGGCTCTAGGTATACATAGTGTTATGTAATTTATCTAAGCCTTGTCCCTCAATTGAAGTGTAATAATAATTTAATAATAATAACAGTTTGCACTTATCAGAGTTTTTCAAAGTGCTTCACACACATTATAAGTATAGGAAGAATCACAAAGAGTTGTGATTCCTGCTGTTCTGGGGACATAAAACCCAGGCTGGGTTCTCCCTCTGATCAGCCAAAGTGAAAAAAAACATTTGCTAATGTATGACAGGAATCACCAACACTAGGCAGGTATAGAACTGTCTCTGCTACCAGATGATATGTCTGGCAGATGTACACCACCTGGCTGGTACACTAACTGAAGAGAAAATGTCATTGACTTCAATCAAATTTTCTTTTAGATCAGCAGTAGTATCAGCAGCCATAAAGTACAGAAGATTGGAGAAGGTGATAGAGTCAGCAGATTAATTCACTCTGAAGAAGAAGAAGAGAACCTGAGTGAGGTTCTTATGGCACCCTGAAGAGTGTCCAAGCTAGACACTTGTAAAAGGAGGATAATTTAAGTGCAGGGATTATTTTTTTTCTTTGAAAGCTGAAGTATACTATCCTAATAGCAGATAGGGTCAGAAGGGAGGCTTAACAAAATTGTTTTCAGAATGTGGTTATGGTTAGAAGAGAAGTTGTAAAAATGACTTCTAATTGTCTTATTTTTATTCTCCATCAGCAACTTCCATGTCCAAATAGTTCAGTTTGCCAGTCAAACCACATTTTTTCTAATCACCAGCTTTGTTAATTCAATAGTGTTTCTTTCTACTTTGTGCATCATATTTATTGATAAAGAGTCTGGATTCAGAACTTAGCTGATAATTGTGTTGATAATGCAGGACGCAGAATAGAATACAATTTTGCTTTGACGTTGGTACAGTGGTCCTGTGCTGAGAGTAATATTTTTTTTGTCATTAAGCAAAAATGATGCACATCAGAAGATATGGTCAATGCACAAGACACTTCTTTTGGTTACCTTTTTTTCCATAACCACATTTGAAGAAATTAAGATAAATTAATGGAAATTAACCTAGCTCAGATCTGCTACCTGACAGACAGTAAGCAACTTCTGGTCTAAAGGATTTCCATCTGAGATTCCCAACTGGAAACAGAGCTCTGGTGTTAACAGCTGCCCCATGTGTTTCCCCAACAGGTGGACCCAGCTCCATTCTATGAAAATTGTGTTCATGATGCCTGCTCCTGTGACAGTGGTGGAGACTGTGAGTGCTTCTGTTCTGCAGTTGCTGCTTATGCCCATGAGTGCAATAAGACTGGAGTTTGTGTCTTCTGGAGAACTCCTGATATATGCCGTGAGTAACCTTTAAATATTCCCCACTGAGTACAACTGGACCTATCAGAATGATATCACAAAGTTTTTAATCACTGCAGCAGTGTGTTGACACAGAGTTGTATGCTATGGCACATAGTGGAAAGGGTTCACCATCTCTGTATAAGCAGATGCTGATTATTGTATTAATGAGTTCAGTGTATTTAAATTGTCACTATGGGTTGACCCTTAAATGACATTTCAAATGATCCTCCTCATTCTGTGCCAACTGGTGGACTGACATTCCCAGCATATTTATCTAGTCAGCAAAATCTCCCACCTAGAATTGTTACTAGTATTTTTTTTTTTACATTTTGTGTATAGCACAGTAGCCTGTGATTAGTCCCACTAGGCCAAACTGTGTTTAAGTTATACTCATAAAACCCCACTGACTTCATTTTAGGCTGTTGTATGTGCCTCTTGCTTATAGCTACTGACACCAAAAGTCAAGTTGGGATGGTGATCATACTAAATGAGTTACGGGAAACACTTCCACCGATCCAACCAGTGGGAGCAGAAACTAAGCTTTTCACAGTGGGGACTTGTTCTTACACACAGTACATCACTTCCCATCTCAGAAATCTTGCAAATTTTATTCTGTAGCCATATGGCAATTCACACTGGTTCATAGGCCATATGGTTTGAGGAATTTGGTTTTGAATGTGTTAAGCTTTCCCCCATTCACATCTTGTTATGCACCTATAAACAAGGTTCAGGTTTGAAGTTTGTGCATGTCCATGTGTGTTCACTGGAGGAACACCATGTGACTACTGCATATGATATATCTGGGTGAAACTGATTTCAGCCTATATGCACCATTAGCCCTAAGAGTTTGCAGATGTCCAGAGAAGTAAAAAAAAAAAAATCACAACACTTCAACAGACAGCTTGAATTCAAAATTGATTCTGAGTAGTTGTGTGATTTCAATCAAACATTTGTTTTCTGCAACAGTGGTGTTAAATGTGAAGGTGATGAAATCCAGAGTTTCATGTGTTCTGTATTCAGGTTGAGTAGGGAAAAAAAATTCCAGGTCCCATGTGTCAAGGGAAATATTGCTGCCAGTGCACTGTGTAGGGTTATTTGGCTGGCATGGTTAGAGGTGGGAATGGGATTCTGTTCTGTCAGCTGTTTTTTTGATCAGCTTCTGTTTTCTATCAGCAATATTTTGTGATTACTACAACCATTATAATGAGTGCAAGTGGCACTACGAGCCTTGTGGCCGTCAAATTAAGACCTGCAGGATCATTAACAATGTCAGCACCAACTTCTCATTGCCATATCTGGAAGGTAAGAAACTCCTGATTGTTTTTGTATTGCATATCATGAAGATTTGGTTAAAATGTTACTTGATGGAGTTGGATCTATTAGCTAATGAGATCTATTGATTGCCTGGCCATTCCTAAATCTATAATCATACACAAGTATTTGGTGTGGTGTAATTTATTGTTTATTGACATCAATGGGATGATACTCACATGTTAAGCACATGCCTGGGTATTTTTCTGAATTGTGGTATAAGATTGATCCACCATCCCCATTGACCAATACCGTGTTAAGTGTACCTCAAGGGGGAGAAAAGATTATTACTGTGGTACAGAAAACTAGAATTTTATTCCTTAATTATTTCTTTTAAACTTTTTATGTATTTTTGCTATGTCAGCTACACATTGCTGTAACTGAGATACTGAAGCATTTCTGTATCCTTGCAAAAAGAAATAACTGATATGTCAGCCATTGTAGTGCTGGTAAATATTGGCTTCTTAATGGATGGATCAGTGGGAAATATTCAGGATTTACAATGAATAATTCACCACTTTTGGAAGTGCTCATTATCCAGGGCCTCATTTAGAATCAGAAGGAGTTTTCATACTTCAGTGAGCCTTAGAACAGGCCTCCAGTGAGAATGTAATCATTAAGTTAACAGTTTATGTTTATTAATATTACAAAATGGACCATTTGTGGTCAACAGGTTGCTACCCCAGATGCTCTACAGATGAACCCATTTTCGATGAAGATTCCAACAAATGTGTAACCGAAGACAAATGTGGCTGTTATATTGCAAATGGCACTCGTTATGAACCTGGCGAAGAAGTACCCACAGACAAAGTTTGTCTGAAATGGTATGTGGAAATTCAAAAGTGATGGAGCAATGCATATTGAGACCTTGATTCAGGAAATTGCTGAAGCACGTGCTTACATCCCATTGACCTCAATGGGACTTAAGTGTGTGCTGAACTGCTGTTGTGAACAGACCATGCTGTCGTGTTTTCCTGAATGAAGGCTGTAATATTACAGATTACCTGCAAGAACCTCAATGTGAATTTGCCCTTCTCCATATAAATGCTGATTTATCCCAGATGAAGATCTTGCCTTACAAAAATAGTGGGGTGGGGGGAACATCATAGTTACAATACAGTTGGATTTTAAAGGAACGCCATCTATTTCTACTCACATTTCTCTCTGTGCATTTTTTTACCTGCAATTGTTAGAAGTAATTCCACAGATTGCTATAACTGGGAGAGACTAGAGAAATAAAAGTACCTATATTTTTTCAACTTATTCACATTGTGAATTTAACAGGACATTGTGTATAGTCATTTTCAATTATTCACTAAAGTCAGTTGCACCTGTTGTTCATGTATGTCTTTCATGCAACAGCAGAGGAGATTTTGTTTTTAAATAGGAACATGTGGCTGTAAAACTGCAAAAATTGACAAGAAAACTCAAGAGCAGAGTAGTGCCTGAAACTATTTTTAACCCATGTTTTGAAATTGACTGTATTTCATGTTGATGATGGCCCATTAATAAATCTTTTGATAATAGCATTAAATATTACTTTTAAAATGTCATATCTGGAAATTACACGTAGAGCAGCCCTTACGCTGTTCTAAGTTTTGCCAGATAGAACCAGCTGGGGGGTCACTGGAGCACAAATGTCTCTGGCTATGTTCCCTCACACCCTCAGCCCTCCTCAGTATAGCACTGATCAGTAATTTGTAGAGATATAAGGATGCTGTGCAACAGAGATGGAGCAAAATTGTTTAAGGGAGCAGTGGCTGTTAGTCATATATTTTCCCTACTCCTGATGGAGGGTAATTAATTATCTCAAGGAGGAGTGTTTGGAGGAAGGAAAGCCGGTAGTTGTGTCGGGAGAAAATAGCAATTGTCAGTATTGGAGCAAACAACTGCCAAAGAAATATCCAGTCTCACGAGATGAAGTTTGAGTGATAAAATTGGTTTTAAGTTTTTAGACTCTTTGCCCCTGCAAACAGTGTGCTATACATTTATTGGAGGGATTCATGAGAAATTACTGCAGGGGCTGCTGTTGGTTTGCAAAAATATTCATTTTGACTGAATTTTGTTTCTTTTAGTATCTGCTACTCAACAGGAAATATTGTGTGCATGCCTGACCCAGGTAAATTGCATTTTATTCTTTCTGCAAACTGGAAAGGGAAAGAAAAAGAAAAGGAATGCCATGTATCTCTTCCATCTGTCTCCATAGGAGATTTAGTAATGAATTTGAATGATTCTTTGCAGCTCTAGCCAGGATTGCACAAAAGAAAAATTGAGTAACACTTCGTAACCTCACAGTCATCACTCACACATTTAAGGATATGACAAAAAAGTGAATTAGGCTAATTTAAGATCAAAGTGTAACAACTGCCCCTTTCTTTCAGTGTTGTTAGAACAATGCTCCTTCCCCAATATCCTAACTATTAATTTTCAGCTCAAGCCACTTAACCTTCAAGGACATGTGGTATTTTATAACAAGTTCATTATTATGTTAGATCTGCTACTGTGTTAGAAAGTATTTTCATAACCCTGCTTCTAAATGAAATTTCTATTCTTGCTAATTAGTTTATGTACTTCACCTACATACGGCTTTATTATATATGCCTTAACTTTCTCCTAAATTTAAATATAAATTAATGAGGTTTGTATGGTTTAGGTACAGCTATATCTCTGAGAGGTGCAACTCTCACACACTCAAACACTGATATTTACCTTAGGCACTTTCATAAATGTCTTGGCATGTTGTTGTTCTTGACCATTTCTTAGAAGAACAATTTCACAATGAATCTCTTTCTTGCAGCCTGTACCACAATCCCAACAACCACTACACCCCCTACTACCACACTCTCAACCACCACCACTATTACCACAACCACACCGACAACCACTACAACTACCACTGTGCCAACATCAACTACTACAACATCGCCTGTAATAGGTAAGAATTTAACAATAACTATAAGCTATAGACAGAATTGCCTTAACAGCAGAGATTAGGGTTGCCACCCCTCCAGTATTTTCCTGGAGTCTCCAGGAATTAAAGATTAATCTTTAATTAAAGATTATGTCGCATGATGAAACCTCTAGGAATACGGCCAACCAAAATGGCAACTCTAGCAGAGATTCATTTAATATGTTCTACTTTCTTTAGCCTTCCAGAATGTGTCACAAAATTCTATGGAATATGGCATTATCTGAATAAAATCACTCTCTCCCACATGTAAGGCTTGGGCAGGAGGCATGATTACTACTTCCCTGGATATGCATAATATTTATCATATTTGCATGTATTCCTCGATATCTGTAGTCCTCGAGTCCTAGAGGGGATTTTCTGTCCAATGGTGTGAATTCCACTGAACAGTACTGATGTTTCTATAAAAAAGACAACCTCCAGGCAGCAAAGGTGGAATTTTAAAGATCTAGAATGTAGAACGTGCAGAGTGGGCTGAGTTGATATTGCTTATTGAGAGGAGTGAAAGGATTGTTATTGTGCCTAACCAAAGCAGGGATGGAGGAGGTTAGAGGGGGCAAGGATCCTTGTGCTCTTATTTACACTGTGTGGTGCTGCAGTATTGTGGAGATCAAAGAGCTGCCTTCCTCCCTACATTGTGGTTAGCCCTTCAAAAGTGCACAAAGAGGTATAGGGGTGGTGGCACTGAGATCTGTCATCCCTCGTACATCTGGGCAAAAGAGAACGATGTCACAAAGACAAGAGGTGTCTAATGCTGTCACTGACACTGGGCATATCCCAAAGTGGGGACTATATGGTTCTGCTGTTCTGCATCCCTCGCACAGTTCAATGGAGCAAGGCTTCATATAAGGAGGAGGTGCTGCACCATTTTGATGGGTTTTATGTCCTCCAGTCTGCCATGTTCTCCTCCAGATGCCCAATGGCTTTCCAGTTGAGTAAGCCAAAATGCATCTGTGGAATCCAGCCAGGTTGCACCCTCACCCTTCTGCAACAATTGCTCTGGCTTTAGTGGTCAGGATAGAATCCCTTGTGTTGTAACGAGGGATGTTCTCTACAGCAGTGGTTCTCAAAGCCGGTCCGCCGCTTTTTCAGGGAAAGCCCCTGGGGGGGCCAGGCCGGTTTGTTTACCTGCCGCGTCCACAGGTTCAGCCAGTCGCGGCTCCCACTGGCCGCGGTTTGCCGCTCCAGGCCAATGGGGGCTGTGGGAAGCTGCAGCCAGCACGACCCTCAGCCCACGCTGCTTCCCGCAGCCCCCATTGGCCTGGAGTGGCGAACCGCAGCC